ATTAAACTTGCTCTTTCATAATCTGTTAATAATCTGTAATAATCTGTTGATTTGTTCAAAGTACGTTTTTACTAAAAATTAAGAAATTTATGACTAGAAATTTTAATTTTTATTGGTTTTTAATTATTTGTTCCTTTTTTTGACCTTTAGTGGATACAACAAAACCACCTGCTAGTGCCTTACCATGCTTATTTGCTTCACTTACTCGAAAATATTTTGAGAGCAATTTGAAACCATGCGAAACTAAAAATGAGCAATATTGGAGGAGAGCATCAGCAAATGCAGTGAAGGAACGCGTACAACTATTTGTTAAGTATTTTCCCGAATTATCTTTATTATGTAATTCTTTAGAAAATTATTCAATATGTGAAAAACATTACAATCAAATTATTGCTAATAACAATTTTTACCAAGCTCTTTTAAATTCAAATACAAGCAAAAGACTTCAAGAAGATAATACTTTGGAAACACACACCTTTACAACAGGAAAAAATTATGGTGATGATGACACCATTGGTGAGTCTGATATTTTGGGAGAACTTCAAGAAACTAAAGACAAGCTAATGAGGAATGAATTGGAATGTCAACAACAATCAATAATTATTATGGAACTTAACAATAAAATTGCACAACAGCAACAGCAACTAGAAAATTATAAGCGTGAGGTAGAAGAGTTAAAAAATAAATTAAGCATATCTTATGATCACATAGATCAAATTTGTGATTTATATAAAGAACAATTTAACAAAAATAAATATCTTACTGAGGAGTGGGATTCTCGATTCAACAATCAACAAAAACATATAGAAGCTGTAATAGAGATTGCACTTGCTGAACGTGATACTCTGTACAATGATATTGAATCATTAATTAAAAACAATAATAGGTTTTCATTAGAAAATCTTATGAATTATACTCCTAAAACTTGGTTAAATGGACGTAACCAAGTTATTGTAAAGTTCATCAAAACTCTGACTCAGAATGTTAATTCTGATGAATTAAACCAAGAAAGAATATTTAAGAGAGCTGTTGCAGTTGATGCAATATATGGTTCACACCATAGTAAATATGTATCAGAAATTAATCTTGCAGCATCAGCTGTAAAATATTCCTTGGCACGTTCAAAAAAAATTATTAACATAGATAATCATATAACAAGTGCAGGAAGTTATCCTATGTTTCAAAATTGGTTAGAAGGATTGGCAGAAGAAGAAGAACCTTTGCCTAATGGACTTCTATTCCTTGCTTTTGATAATGAACAAAGAGGGCAGAAGAATTATCTTGATCGTGGATTCAATACAGTGATTTATCATATAGTCACAAGTTTTGTTGCATTTAATATGGAATCACAAAATGAAATGCAACATACTGATACTCCTTGGCTACATAATTCTTTAAATAGATTACAATATGAAGAACTTTTTGATGTTTCTTTTCAAATGGAAGAGGAAATTAATAAAGAATTATACATTCATCTTTCTGAAATTCTTGACTTGTTGGACAGGGAAAAATCATCAGCAACTAATAATATTGAAGCTCTTGTTGCAAATAGTGTTTCAAACAATAATTGCAACAAACAATGTCTAAGCTGTGGTGAAAGGAACATTGAGAATCGAAAACAGACTTGTCCAATATGCAAAACTCGACTACCTACCTTGACAAATTACAACAGAACCAGAAATAGACTCATCTGATCAACCATTAAAGCCAACTATCTTTAAAATTCATAGGTTTGAAGATGAATACAATACTACTACCAATCCATGTATTAGTGCCACTCAAATACCAATTGCTGATGAAGGTGTTAATGTTCCTGGATTTTATGTTCCTGATCCAATTAACATCAATCCTAATTCAATTCCAAATGTTGAAAAGGTTCTCCTTCACATAAAGAAAATATCAGGAATTGAGGATGGAACACGTAAATGGGTTGCAGTAGAATGTGATGGTGTTCCATATCATCATATAATCAAATTAAAAAGAAGATCAGAAATTCCTTGGTTAGTTCCTATACCTGGACAATTGCATGAAGAAATGAATATGCTTCAAGCATATGTTGAATTAAATTGGTAAGTTTATAATTTGCTTTATTTAAAATTCATAATTATATTTATATTAATTAATTATATTATATTACATTTATATTAATTATATTTATATTACATTTATATTAATTTATAATATTTATATTAGTTAATTATATTTTATTAATTTAATTATATTTATATTAATTAATTATATTTATATTAATTTAATTATATTTATATTAATTTAATTATATTTACATTAATTTAATTATATTTATATTAATTTTATCATAATTATATATATTTAAATTAGGGAGATTGATCTTAAACAGTTTGCAATATGTCAAGGTTACAAAAATGATAAACAGCTTGCTTATTTTAAAAAATGTTATGATCATCATAAGTCCTGGGATTCT